GCCACCCGCCAGGGCTCCGTCGCCTTCAGCCCCGAGCCGGAGCCCGGCAAGCCCAAGCTCCCAGCCAACATGTGAGTGAGCGGGCAGCCGGGAGTCGCCCGGGAAGAGCCGGGACGGAGCCGAAGGCGCCAAGCTGGGGAGCGGCGCCCYGCGCTGCCGGAGTCCGTAGTTCGCCGCCGCGTGTGTCTGCGTCGTGGCTCAGCCGAGCTCCGCTTAACGGTGTCGCTTYGGGCCCCAGCGCGTCCCCGAGCGCCGTTAGAGTAGCGTGTCCGTCCGTGCCCCCCTGCCCGACCCGCCGCGCTGTGCAAGCTTCCCCGCTCYCGGCGGCCCCCGGAGCGAGCGGCCGGCACTGCCTTTTCTCACCGACTCGGACCTCGTCCCCGTCCCGCCCGTGGTCCGGCTGCCAGCGGCTCCGTGGCCCGGCTCCGACGCCGCTCCCCAAGGACCACGTCCCCCCCCCACTCTTGCACTTGATGTACAGAGCTTGTAGTTTTCATATTGCAGAGAGTTTAAAAGCGTTTTTTAATTTATTTATTAATTATTATTCCGATTATTATTTTTTTGGTCGTTGTACATAATGAGTTTAAATAATAAAGAGCGATTCGGAGCTGGGCTGGGGGCGCTTGCTTCTCTCCCTCCCTGTCCCTGCTGCTGACAGGTCCCYGTCCCACGTCCCCCCACCCCCTGTACCCTGGGCCCTCGGGGGGATTAACGTTTAATCTCCATCATTTTCCCCTTCATTAACTTGGGGGGATGGAGGGAGCCTCGGATGCGGCTTGATTGCAGGGGACTTTAGGCATTAAATAGATTAAAGGGAAGGTCATGACGCGCAGGGTGGGTCGGGGCGCTCAGGCCACCGCGGCCAGGGGGGCTGGAGCCTCCCCATCCCGCTCCAAAGCTCCCATCCCGCTCCAGGGCTCCCATCCCGCTCCAGGGCTCCCATCCCGCTCCGGGCTCCCATCCCGCTCCAGGTCTCGGCCAGCCCTTGGCCCCGCGGACACCAGAGCCTGGGGCTGCCCCTCTGCCCAAGGGAAGGAAGTTCCAATGGGAATTAGGCTCCATGACACATGATGCGATGGGAGCTCATTAGCGCTTTCTCTCTAATTTGATTATTCCAGATTACACTGCCCGGAGCAGGTGCCCCCCGGCATCCCGACACACCAGCGGCTCCAGGCCCTGCTGCTGCTCCAGGTGCTCCAAGGCGGGAAGAGCTTTTCCTTGGGAATGTGATTCCAGCGCGTGGGTCTTGTGCCCGGCCAGAGACACGATCCGACCCTGCCGAGCCGTGTGGGCCGAGAAGCGGGAATTACCACCCGGCGCTGGCAGCAGCAGCACCGTGCTCGGGGAAGTGGGAATGCTGCGTGGGAGCAGCAGCGGGAACCCCATGCCCGGAGCAACAGCAGAAACGTGTCCAGAGCAGCGGGAATGTTGAKCTGGAGCGGCCGGCGCTGCAGCAGGAGGCCGGGACAGAGATGGGTGTTGAGCTGGCCCGTCTGCAAGGTGGGAAAGTCACCTGGCCCGGAGCATCCCGTAGGAAAGTGCCGTCCTGCAGCGCCGGCTGCCGGGGGATTAGGCGGCAGCGAGGTACAGATTGATTAAGCCGGGGTTAGCGGCGATTAAGGGCTTAGGGYGGCTCAGCTGCAGATTGCCAATCAGCGGGGCAGCACCCGGGCGAGGGGCAGCGCTGGGAGCGCCCGGCTCCCGAAACCTCCGCCCCGGAGCGCTCGGAGCAGGCAATGTCCAGCGCGGCCGAGCTCCGACCCTGCACCCTGTGGGTGTCCTGCACCCACAGCTGCACTGCACGCCTGCATCTGCACCCCACGTGTGCACCATGCACTGCATCCCTGCACCTCACGCATGCACCCTGCACCTCTTGTGTGCACCATGCATTGCATCCCACAGCTGCAGCATGCACCGTGCCCTCTCTGCACTGTTGCACCCCATGCACGCACCCTTCACCTCACGCATGCACCATGCATTGCATCCCTGCACCCCACGCCTGCACCACGCACTGTGTCCTCTGCAACCCGTGGCGACCGGAGCGCTGCTGCACCCCACGCATGCCCCCTGCACCCCACGGATGCACTCGACATTGCATCCTGCGCCCCGTGCCTGCGCCCTGCACCGTGCACCGCATCCCACGCGTGCTCCCGGCGCGCGCGCCCTTCCTCGGCCGCCCACGCGCTCGCCTCACGCTGCCCTCTCCACCAATCGCAAAGCCGAGTCCCGCCCTCCTCGCCCTCTCACTGGCCCGCCCCCCTTGGGCCCATCCTCATACGATGGAGCGGACCAATGAGAGCGGGCCTCAGGAGGCCCCCTCCCCGCCCCTCCCACCGCCCTCCCGCGCAGAGCAAGCCGGGACTTGTAGTCCCCCAGCGGCCCCACGCCGGGGCCGTGTGGCGTCCACGAACTGCGCTTCCCGACATGCCCCGCGCCGCCCCCCTCCCGCGCCGCTCGTGGGGCGGCCTCAAAAGGGCCGCGCGGCCGGGGCGGCGGGCGCGACCATGAGCGCGGCCGGGGATGGCGGCGCCGCCGCGGAGCGCGAGGCCTTCGTGGGCTTCTTCCCGCAGGTCGTGCGCGACCTGACGGCCGAGCGGGGCCACGCGGAGGTGGGCGACGCCGTGGCGCGTCTCGAGGAGGTGAGCGGGGCCCGCGGCGGCGGCACCGGCGGCGGCACCGCGGGGCCGGCGGCGCTGAGGGCCCCTCGCCGCGCCAGGTGCTGCGGTACAACGCGCCGGGCGGCAAGAACAACCGCGGGCTCGCGCTGCTCGCCGCCTTCCGGCAGCTGGCGGGGCCCGAGCGCTGCGACGGCGAGAGCCTGCGCTGCGCCATGGCCGTGGGCTGGTGCGTGGAGCTGGTGAGAGACCGGCGGGCTTGGGGGGGCCGGGGGAGGAGGTGGGGGCCCTGAGATGTGGGAGTCTGGGGGGTGGGGAGGGGTCCTGGGGGGGCTCCAGGGGTCCAGAAGAGACCCCATCCCCTCCTGGCCGCCCTCCCCGCAGCTCCAGGCGTTTTTCCTGGTGGCCGACGACATCATGGACTCGTCACTGACGCGCCGGGGGCAGCTCTGCTGGTACAAGAAGGTGAGGGGGGGGTCCTGGGGCGGGCGCCCCGGTGCCGKGCGCGCGGTGCCCACGTGGCCTCTCCGCGCAGGAGGGCATCGGCCTGGACGCCGTCAACGACGCCTTCCTGCTGGAGTCGGCCGTGTACAGGCTGCTCAAGAAGTACTGCGGGCAGCGGCCCTACTACCCGCACCTGCTGGAGCTCTTCTTGCAGGTGGGCGGCCCCCCCGAGACCCCTGCCCGCACACACGCCTGCGCCTGGCTCCGCTCCTCTCCTCGTTACCGAATCCCTGCTCTGCCCTTCACTTCTGGGGCAGCCTGCCAAGGAAATGCTCCCTTGCAGAGCGGAGCCTGGTGTGAGGTTTCCAGGAGGCTTTGGGATCTCTCTTTCCAGGGGACACAAGGGCGAGGATAAATCCGTAGGTCTTTCCTCCCCAGACCGCCTACCAGACGGAGCTCGGGCAGGCCCTGGACCTCATCACGGCTCCTGTCGGCCAGGTGGATCTGAGCCGCTTCAGCGAGCAGAGGTGACAGCCCCGGGGTGGCAGCTCCTTGTTCCCGTCCCCATCCGTGTCCCCTCGGTGGGAGCGGTGGCCACGGCTCCGTGACGAGCCCGCTGTCTCTGCCACAGGTACAAGGCCATCGTGAAGTACAAGACGGCCTTCTACTCCTTCTACCTGCCCGTGGCCGCTGCCATGTACATGGTGAGTTGTAGGGACAACCAAAACTGTCCTGTGTCACTCGAGGCAGCTGCGGGGCTGGAAGGCTGGAGCTGGGCTGTAAAACCCCCCAGGAAGGTCTGGTTCCTTCTTCCCCTTCTAGGCGGGTATTGACAGTGAGGAGGAACACGCCAGCGCCAAGGCCATCCTGCTGGAGATGGGCGAGTTCTTCCAGGTGCAGGTAGGAGGTGCTGCCCTGTCCTCCTGCTCGCTGCCCCAGCCCCTTCCTCGCGCTGAGATCACTCCCTTCCCGCCAGGACGACTACCTGGACTGCTTTGGGGACCCCGAGGTGACGGGCAAGGTGGGCACCGACATCCAGGACAACAAGTGCAGCTGGCTGGTGGTGGAGTGTCTGCGGCGGGTGACGCCGGAGCAGCGGCGGGTCCTGGAGGTACTGTCACCGCCGTCCCTGGGGGAGCGCGAGGCTGCTGGAAGCTGCTCCTCACCCTTCCTGCTCCTTGGGCCACTCCTCAGGAGAACTACGGGCGCAAGGAGCCCGAGAAGGTGGCCAAGGTGAAGGAGCTGTACGAGAGCGTGGGGCTGCGGGCCGCCTTCCAGGAGTACGAGGAGCGCAGCTACGCACGGCTGCAGGCGCTGGTGGCGCAGCACGCGCAGCGCCTGCCCCCCGACATCTTCCTGGGCCTCGCGCGCAAGATCTACAAGCGCCAGAAGTGACGGCGCCCGTGGGSGCTCCCCCGATAGGACTGTGGGCACAGGAGAGGCTGGGGGCGCCCCCGGGCTCTCCCTCCTGGGGACAGTGACAAAGGGCTGGCCCCGTGACAAAGGGCCCGTGGCTCCCGCTGCAGGTGGAGCCAGCTAGGGGGGTGTCAGGAGCCTTGGTCAGGGCTCTGGATCTTAATAAAGATAATTTATTGGAGATACCACACAATTAGTTATCGTGGGGGGGGTGACTTGCGCTATGGCAGTGGGGCTGGGCCAC